AACATTTGTATAGATAAAATGTAAAATGTGTGTGGTTTTTACCTAAAAAGACAGTTTTAAGCCCATGTTTATTCACTATAATAAAGCCACCTATAAATAATATAAAATAAATGCCAAAATCCAAGAAAAAAAAACTTGGATTTCCTTAAAACACAGGCACACAGTGAGATATTCAAATTAAACAGTAATTGTTCCAGTACAAAACAGCCAAAAGAGGTCGTAATTTTTAAACTTCGAGAGAGTGTTTTACTGGAACATTTCACGATTGCACATTGAAACATTAAGACTTAACCACTACACCACCTGCTGGCCCTTTTAGGACATTTCTTTTCTCAAATATCTTTCAGTGGTCACCAGGGCTCTGCAGCCATCAGAGCAGCACCGAGAGACACCCGTAGCTGGTGCCCCGACTCACGCCCCAGAGTGAACCCACCGTGGGCCCTGCTACACCAGAGTGAGGATAAGCAGGTCACCCGCTAAGCGGCAGGAACCTTGGGAAGGGTGTCAGTGTGTCAGAAGGCCGCAATCTGAGCCTGATCCCGGGGAAAAGGGGGGAGGGGAGTGAAGATCAGGAGTGCCTAGAGATGGCAGGAGGGTCCTGACAGGGCTCCGAGCCTCAGTTTGAGGCCTGCCAGTCCCTCTTGGTAAACGTAAATGATTAACAACAATAAACCAGGCCAGCTAGAGAAAACACTGCCCAGCTCTCGCTCAATGCACTAAGGGCCTATTTGACACATGCACGGCCATTTACTAAATCAGGAAGCATCCACACGTGCAGAAGATCTCTCTCTCTCTCTCTCTCTCTCTCTCTCTGCATAGCCAAAACCTCTGAAAGGGACATGAGAAGGAATCATTCATTATGCAAGGGTAGCTCTGGATGTGAACTCTGTCCCCCAGAAAGTGTTTAGGTGAGAGCACGATCCTGCCTCTCTGCAGCATCAGAGGCCCGTACGCCAGGACTAACTAAATACAGCCCTTTTACATAAATAACACAAACTGAGGACCTCAGATCCATAAATCTGGGCTTTGCAAGCATGCAATGTCGATGGGCCTAGGATCTGAATAAATTTTCACACGTATATTACCCAATATTACATTTAAACCAGTGTGGAAATAATCCCTTTTATGAGAGTGGAAGACAGTTTCTACAACAGTACCATTTAAAACATTGTTGCTGAATGGTATTTAAGTCATTTGTTATCTTAGCAATAAAGTACAAATATTTGTATGAGCAAAAACATATGAGGCCATAAGTAAAAGGGGATTATTTTACCCATATATTTTACCCTTCTTGCTATTATTACCTTCGTTTTACTACTCAACTGACACATAGGGGTTTTGAAGTATTACCCAAAAAAAAATTAAACTGGGCAGTTAATAAAATAGGTAAACAAAAAGACAGGAGTATATCACCAGCACTCAAACTATATTACTGTTATGTGTTACTGCGGTTACCTCATCCATAAAAGAAGGAAAAAAGACCGTGACTTATTTAATCGTCACTTTATCTCTGTGTAGCCATACAGTATATAAATCTATTAAGATACAGCATTGCTGCTCTCCGAAACAGCCTTATAGCTGCACAGCTGGGTGCAGCTTTGATTTATAACGACTGTTGTAAAGGATCCTCTTCCAGTGATTCATCGGATGTCTGCACATCACGCGCTGTCGCAGCCCGGTGGCCCTGGGCCCCTCCGGTCGCCCAACACATAGCTGATAAGATAAAGGGGAACTGCGACACGATAAAGACGGAGCCCCTGGTTCAAGCAGGGCAGCCGGTTAAATTCAGACGTATGTTTAACTCTCATACGATCCTTGCCTTAAAGAAGCTGCTTTCAGGACGCAAAGTCTCAGGGTCAGAAGGCAAATAGGCTTAGAGCAAAGGCACAGCGCTGATTGGCTTAACTGATGACCCGAGGGGCTGTTATAATAACTGTTAATTCAACCTTCCATCCATTTTCATCCTGCTTTCCATAACCACTTTATCCAGGAAAGCTTGTTTCCAAACTTCTCCTTCAGCACCCCAGGAAGTCCACACCGTAGTTATTAGAATAGGCGACACCACCAAAAACAGGAGAATTAATCATTAGAAGGACTAACCTCTACATGCAGGACACGGCAGGAGACAATCGCTGGAAACGTCGCCACTTTTCTGCCCAAGAGGAGCAGCACGACAGCGTACGATTATCTCATCAGGAGACCGGATTAAACGCCAATGATGACAGAATGCCTCATTATTCATCTTCACCTTAATTCATCACTTCTATTTTCTTTTCCCCTTATCTTATTTGGCCAAATAATAGGCTATAACCTTAATGGAACACATAGTATGCCTATAACTGAATTCAGAAAAGGCAAACATAAACGTGGATTATTTAATTCGTTTTGTGTGCCGAGGTCTGGGGAGAACAAATAATATTTCCAAGTTTCCTGAGCTGATTGCTGATCGACGGAAACTCGATTTTAAAGCCATAATTATACTCGAACATCTTGGACGTAAGGAACTGCGCACTTACGGCCACCGGCGGAAACGTCAGAAGAGACGCGCACAGTCTGTGCAGAGGAATAAACTACATAACAGGAAAAGCGGAACAATGCACAGGATTTTAGTCATAGTACAACACAGCGGGTCCCAGCCAGCATCTCTCTGTGTAGTGGAAACCCAATGAAACTGTGGCACAAATCTATATTTTTATAGTTTGCCCAATATGACGACTGCGTTCCATAATCATCATGTACAAACGCAAACGCGGCCAGTACCCCTCATATAAAGATTATAAAGAGTTGTAATGACATATAAGCTGAACAGACATACGCCACGTTTAAAAACTCTTATAAATATAACTCAGAGGTGTTTGTCTTCTTGCTCCATCAAAATTGTGGTTAGTGAAACCTGATGGTTTATGAAAGGTGAAACTAACAAGTGTTCACATATTTTAAACTGTGATCCCCAGCCGGTTGTCATATTGCTTTTAACACTGATGTTATATCTTGTCACAGACTAATTGAAATATTAAATTAATTTCTTTTTCAGTGGAATAACTGGTTTGGTATATTTATATTGTTATTACAAGGTGAAAAATAAAAGTAATCCATCAAGAAAACTATGCATCATAATTTCAGCTAAACTTGCCTTCAGTATCAATTCGCCTGGTTTACTATTAAGTTTTGCTTATAACGTGTTGATAATAATTAATTGTTAATATGTCATATTGTTGTATTTTTATATGATATCATACTGGCTTCATTGTCAATTATTGAGCAAATAATATTGCCATTGCGAAACGTGCATCATTTTGGGGAGCCGGTGAAATTGATGACAACGCGTAATTATATAACGGCATTAGAACTTACCAGCCTCAGGTTTTGTTTTTGAGCCCCTCGAAAGCGGAATTCCACACAAAACAGGTACGGCACACTGATCCTAACACTTTGCAGGAGACCGAGTAAGTCATAAATGTCCCACATCCCTCCCCATCTCCGTATAATAAACAAACTGAAAGCCACACCCCCCCGGGCTGCAGTCCTCCACGCATGGTTAGGTACCTCAGTCCGCCTCGGCATCCAACTGCAGCTCTGCAGGTCCAGTACCTGTCGCCATTCTCACTAAGATAAACTAAATAAGGTTTCTTTTCTACTACAACTATTCATTCAGGCATCCATCTATCCATTAATTTTCTCTTCAGTTTTCCGAGTGACGGATGATTCGGGTGGACACAAAACAAGACATTTAACCGTTTTATTTTGATCTGAAGTGGTAGAAGAAACAAACAATTAAGCAATTAATGTTAGTATGTGTAATTGAACAAGAAGTGTCTTTATAAATTATCACGCCTCGGAGCACTCACACCGACTAACGTGATTTTTTTAGGACTGTGGGGGTGTTTGTTTTTCCTTCACGTCTTGCAGATGTAATTTAATCAAAATCACAATTAAAACAGTTTGCTGTATGATTGGAGCTGGGGCGTGTTTAGGAACTCTGTCCCTAAAGAAATACGGGACGCCCCCCACAGATACAGTACGTTTAACGAGAGGAGGTGGGTCGCCCACGATGAAGCTTGTCTAGAAGAGGGAGATCTCCCACGATACAAGCTGCTGAGCAGCAACGACGAGACGAACAGGAGGTTACGGGATAGAGGAATCCAGCACTTAAACTAATAAATGGCGAACAAATTAATCTTATCCGTAACGGGTATCTAGATAAATCTGTGAGTATATTCTGACATCCAGAAACCTGCGTGGGAATGCGCGCACTTCAGACCAGGGAAGTTTAAAGCTATTGAAAAAAAAATCAAGGGCTAAGTCAAGTTTACCCAGGGACTTAAAAAGAACTAGGGACTGTAGCTCCGAGTGATCGGACCTAACGACGCCCATGCTTCGGGCACATCCTGCCATTGACGCAGAAACTTGAAAATACGTTTTTTTTATAAATCCCGCTAGAACACGCTGGTCTGGAAAACATTTCAGGAACGACCGATTGTTTTTTAAAGCCATTTATATTTCTGGATCATTAACATTCTGGAAAAGCGTATGAAATACGTTCATAGAAATTCGATGGTTTCACGGACGGACAGTGGTGTTCAATAATCCTATATATAACATTATAAAATGAAGCATGGAATATTCCAAGGGCGTAGTTTACGTGAGCAGTTGGCAGTATAAGGAACAGTTGGGCAGCAATCATATTTAATGTAGATTTACTCACTATTTGCGTTGGACGCAGTACTTAGTCTTCCCCCCATATTATATGTGTGTGTGTGTGTGTGTGTGTGAGTGTCAGGTAGACTGACTTATGAGGTCTGTCTTGGCCTTGACAGTGAGGCTTGCATTCTTGCATAAGGTGCTACATGGCTTTGCCTGGTAGGTCTACAGATTACAAGGTTTACGACCAAGTCATTTTGTGGGCCAACATATAGTTGTACGCATAGTAGTATTTGCACTAAAAACAAATGACTGATAGTCATTATAAAAGCAATACTTTTATTAGAAATGCACTACACACATTAATTTTGCAAATGAAAATATTATATAAATTATACATCATTATATAAATGTTCATTTATTAAAAATCAGAAACACAGTAGTATAGTCATAGCATGCAGATACAAATTTAGTGAAATTATTACAAAATACAACAGCTGGTTGGATACTTGGAGGTATAAACCTTATTTTCAATGCCGAAAACATAGTAGTTGTAATCCTTTCCATTGTAAGCATAGAAAGCGTGAGTAAGGGGGACCAGTTCAAGGCTTTGACGCTGTAAAAATATGCAGACAATTATTTAAATGAAATCTGATTGAAGCGACAGGTGAATGTGATTTTCCTAAATAACCCAAGCCGCAAAATCACTTCAGTCAAATCAGAAAGACACCTGACACCTAGTGGCAAGAAAATGTAATGACAGATACGATTTTTCGCCTATGACGTGACAACGTAAAATATGAACTATAGCTGAGTAATGACTTAGTAGAGATATTAAATACTCGCGTGCAAACAGCTTTAATTACCACCATATTTGAACATTTCTCCTAATAGAATCAAAACTCACTCAATGCCAACTTGCTAAAAAGAATGACACAAAAATATACACCAGTCTGCAGAGCTCCCCACGCAGACAAATGGACTCACCTGCTGGAGTATGCGGCTGACAGAAGTGAATTTATTGAGGTGTTCTTCAGTTACCCTCCTGGATTCACGGCAGATGTCCTGGTCAGGGAAGCCCACGATGGGGTAGACCTATGGGAGAACCCTGCTTATAACTCGCACCAGCAGGACCGCAGATTAAGGTTCTATGTGTCACACCCTGCCCATACCAAAACGCTTTCGTCCACAAAGAATGGGTCGCCTGACACCTTCCCGAATTTCTTCACCGGGAATTCTGGGATGCGATCTGGGATGAACTCTGACACATGGTTCTTCCTGGATAAAAGAAAAGAATAAAGAGTGTGGGTGACTCATATCCCCAGTCCTCAAACATCTGCTGTGGTCAAAAGCCTGAATCCCTTTTAAGTTCCTTCTTAGACATCAGAAAACTGCTCAGCCAAGCTATGTCTGACCAAAACACCGGGCTGTGCAGACATTCACACACACACCTGCTGATGCCTTCGCGGTAATCTTTAATTGTTAAAAAAAATAATTATGCAAGACTGTTATAGCAGAGCACCTCAAGGGGAGTTTCAGTACATCAAACTTTTTGACAACATTCCTTTACCATGTGATGGTCAGAAGAATGTAGTGCATTAGGTATTTCAGTCCATGACATGAGGGACATTCTCGATGACCTTTCGCATGACATATGCTGCATCTGAAAATGAGACACCATGAAAGGACATTTAGGGGACAGGCAAGAAACAGGCACAGATTGCGAATATGTATTTAGCCCTGAAGAAAAACAGCGTTTACAACTTCCTGCAGACATCATACCTTTTCCTTCCCGACCCGTGACAGGAAGAGCACGGCTTGTTCCGGGATCGTCCGCTACCATAACAAAATCCACACCGTGTCTTGAAGATTTAAGGAAAAAGATGGAGAACTTCACTGATGTCACATCTTTCTAAGGGCACCAGAATAGCACATTATGTTAACGTGTGTGTCAAGTGCGTTTGATTTTATTCACAAGGCTGCAGTTAATTCCTAAAGACTTCTGACCTAAAAGCAGATATATTTTTACCTATCTTTAATATTGAACTCAAACGAATAAATGTTTCATATAAAAGTGGCATATATGTATTTAGACAGACAGACTTTATTGTTCCCAGAGGGAAATATGCATTATATATACAGACACTCCTCTACTTACGAACTTTCAACTTACAAACTTTCAGACATATGAACGAAGAGGACTGTCTGTCCAAATTGTGTTCTTTGGGCCCCCGTTTCCTGTCCGCAACATCAATTTTTTTTCTGCGCACCAATTCTGGGTAGTACGACTTCTGGCCATGCGTACTCCCAGCATCCTCGTTCTTTGTACTTGCGTATACCCTTAAAATGATGTTGAATAACGACTTACGAACATTTCAAGTTACGAACGGCCGTTTGGAACGTGTCTCATTCGTAAGTAGAGGAGCGTCTGTAGTAACAATATACTGTACAGTATATACTGCATAAACATGCATGTCCAATCAAGACTAGCTAGAGAAGCACTAGAGGAAAGGAAGAAAAATTAGGGATCTGTTACTCACACTTCTTCTGCCATGACAGTGACTGCACCGCACCTTACCGCGCCCATGACACCGGTGACACACCTACGGGCACACGACCGTCACAGACGCACAAGTGGGAACAACCACACATGTCCGTTCATCTAGGAACGGTAGCCCCCGCATTTTAAGTATGCCTCAGAAGAACAAAAACCACAAAAAACAAAAGCTGTTTCAATTTTCTCGTTGACTTTTCATTATGGGTCTCATACAACAGGCCTTCCCAAATTGCACTAGCTACTGGAATGTTCTTGCAAATTCTGCACAGAGAAACATTTTCCTTTCCCGACATGCTAAACAAGGACCTTTTCACTCATTGTCATCCTGAATCGAATAAAAAAAAAAAAAGACTTTGTGAGAAACACACTAGTAGAAAGCGACAAGGGCATGTGCCACACAGGAATAAGGAGCTGGGATTTCCCTGTTCAGGGTTTGTAGGGACTGGGTAGGGTCAGGGTCAATGCAATTCAAAGGGGAACAAAAACACGGAATTCCATTCTAGCAAGAATGAGGAACTGAATCTGGGCCTGCAAATCTAGGAGCCAGTTGAGAAAGCACAGAATATGTCAGTTTATATCACTGATCATGAATAAAGCATAGGTGCAGTGAATTGACGCCAACAACCAGTCACATGACTCTCCTTCCTGAGATGGCCACACCCCCAACCCTCTCATATCCATCTGTTAAACAAGCAAAGAAAGACGGCTGGATATCTTTGATGAAATTTTCAGCTGTACACCAAACTTCGCCCTCGCAGGAGCACCCACCTTAACAAAAGACGAATGCGGCACCCTCACTTTCTGGGTGTGGTCAGTGAAGCGGGGCGGGATCTCCGCCATCACATCCCAGGGTGGGGGGCAGGAGCCGTACTGAGGGCCGTCTACAGACTGGCCTGGAAGAACCACAGGAAGGTCTCCATTTCATCTCCAGGGCCTCCAGTCATTTCTTGCCGTTTATGCTGCATTTTGTGGCACCACAAGTCATGCTAACAACTTGAAAATGCTTCTTGCATGAGCAATACACAGGAAAACAGGCCATTGTTTTGTTAATGAAGGACATACCAGTGTAAGGTTCGAACTCCCAGGAACCAGATCTGGATTCTGTAAAAGTTTCCAAGCGGTACTGTACACAAAAGATACACAAAATACTCCATTTAACATCTGATTAATCATCCATCCATTTTCTGTATTTCTGTAACTGCTTATCCTAGTCAGGGTTTCAGAGGGGTCTGGAGCCTAGAGGCACAAGGCATGGAACAACCCAGGATGGGTTGCCAACAGATCACAAGGCACACCCACACATATGGACAATTTAGTAACTCTAAGTGATCTCAGCATGTTTTTGGAGTATGGGGGGGGGGGATTGAAGGACCCTGAGGAAACCCCACAACGACACAGGGAGAACATGCAAACACCACACATACATAGATCCCAGACAGAGACTTGAACCCAGGTTGCAGAGACGTGAGGCTAAAGGGCTAAACCACCGCACCACCATGCCACCCCATTGAGCAAACAAGGCCAGAAAACAACAGTGTAGGGAATACAAGGAATCTACATATGAGTCACTTTACTGGCTTCAGAAATACTTCTATCTGGAGGGAGAGCAGGGATTATGTTCTACTCTGACAGTCAGTTCCGGGTCACTTACACGGTACACTGTGAGAGGCTTCAAGTCCTTGAAGATCAGGTCCCTGGCTGGCTTCCTGCTGTATGTCCACTTTTTCCCCACAAACTGTAACAGTGCTTCTCTTGCCATGTCCTCTGACACTGTCGGCACCCTAGGAGAAGCGGAAAAGTCCGCAAATCACATGGCGTCCAGCAGTATGTTCTGATGCAAAATCAGCGCCTTTCTCAGAACTTCATTTGGCTTTTTATATTTTTTTTAATAAACACGTCATAGCTACTGTCTTCAGATTTTATTAGGTTTTGGGATTTGCCGAGTTAGTGTTAGGAATTAGGAATGGCATGGCAGAGAGCACCAGAGGGGCCCCTAGGAGTACAGGAATGCAGCTGTGTGTTTCTGATTATGTAACTTGAGACTGTCTGATCCCTTACAAAGACTCCACTCAATTCATTTGCTGCTTAACATGAGCGGTTGAGTCCTTTGGCGTTTGGTCGATCACCTGACTTCAGGGACCACGACGCTCCGGTCGTTCTCCGGTTTAGGGACACGTTCCGGAGGAGGAGGACACACCTTGTCGGTGCACCCTGCAGGACAAAGTGAAGATGACGTCAGCAGGTGAGCCGGGAAGAAGGCTTTAGTTTCAATGGATTCACATGGTAGAACAGATTTTTAAGAACATTGTAAATGTGGTAATATTCCAAAGATTACTACAATTTCTTATGGGCTAAGGATTAAAAATAAATAAACCCACACTAATACTAGATCAAATAATTACTTTTTTAGTAGTGGTGTATTGCTTTGACCATACAAAATAACTAACAAAACAACGCAATGACAGTTAACCAAAAGGAGAGTGATAACTGAACTGACTGAACTGCCCTTAGGTCTACTCCTACTAACGTTCCTGGATTTGGCCACAACAGCTAAAATCAGCAAATTGTTCAGTCTCTCTGTGAAATTACAGTCAGCATATAGCATGTGCAAAGGACTTGCTGTTGATACCCACCTCCGTCACTTGGGACCTCCTCATACCCACTGACATTATCTAACCAGCCAGGCGGGGGTTCAGTCGGCCCCTCCTCCGGCATGTCTGGATCAAACTCACCTACGGAAAGCGAGAAGGAACAAAGCCAAAATGTCCATGAATTACTCTTTGGTTAATGTGTATTTTATATTTCTCCTGACACACTGTAAAAAGAGCACGAGGCTGTTTCCTAAAGGTTCTGGGGCAATACATACATAGTTAAGGACATGGATTTATAATCCCATGATTGCAGGTTAAAGTTACAGGAGCCATTATGTTGTGCTAACTGGGAGTGATACTGTAAAATGACCAGGTAAACTTTCGGCAGAGATGGACATTTCAGGTCCACAGAGTCCAAATCCAGACGAAGTCAGGTTTGTTTCAACCAAGCAGTTCAGTATAAAGAGTCACAGTCACAGAGTACTCAGCTTGCTGGTTGAAACAAATTCTTGGTCTGGATTTGTACTCTCTGGACCTGGAATCTCCACCTCGGACATTCTGTGTAGTAAAATGCAAGACCGCAGATAATCTTCCCTTCATACAAAGCTGCTTTGTAAGGAAAGGAGTCCCTCCTATCCAAGTTTTCTAGTCCTTGGTTTCCAATAATTCCTTCATGAGGAAAGTACACTATACTGCAGATAATCCTGAAATTGTCCCTGTTGATTCCATCTATTGTGAAAGCGGAACACCATTCTAGCCTAGAGGAAAGGAGAACTCAAAATAAGATCTCTTCTTTGTCCAGCCTATTTCTCCTAGACGTAACTGAGCTCTGTTTAGCATCAATATGATATTTCGACCATTTTCTCATACGTCATTAAGTTAGCTCCTGAGAAATAGTCTTCCTCTCCTCTCAGCCTGGTCTCATCTCAAAAGAACTCCGGCTTTTCTTGTGCTTCTCCTGTTATTCTCAAACTGGAGAGAATAATTTATCTTAGATTGATTTATACATTAATGTCTCCTTATTTCTCCTAAGGTGGGGTGTCAAAGAAACTGGTCAGAATTCGGTAATCTCCAAAGAAGACGACCATTTATTTCTGGTGAGACAAAGAAGACTGTTATGAGCAACAACATTTTCCACTGGGAAAGGCCTGCAGCCTGTCCTGCTATATATATATTACAGGTAAATTATATTAATTTAATATGTATGGTGTTTAATTAATCAGTTCCCGAAACTGTGATCTCATTCAAGCAATATAAACAGCAAACTGCAGTAAGACCCCTTTCTTCCTTTACAAGACAAAATGAAAGCAGACATGATTCATACTCACTATATTTCACTTTTAAATTTTAACTTTATACTTTGTCTTTCACGTCTTTTGTCCCTTTATTTTACATAGTTTGGATGAGGATGGTAGTAGGGGTGTGTTGATAATAAATAAATTAAATGAAACTATTATTATTATTATTCAAAGCACTTTGTGTTGCATTGTGTTTGTAGGAAACGTGCTATATAAATAAAGTCTGATTGATTGATTGATTGATTGAGGCATTGGGCGAGCCTGAAATGCTTATGTAGAAATGCACCATTCTGATGTCTTTAACTGCAGTTCAAGAAATCGCAAGGAAGTAACTACTGGTGCAAGTTACACCTCAGAGCTCAGAGTTGTTGTATGCTGCCTTGTCGAGAAATGCTACCGTAGTGCTATTCTATAGCCCTAACCCTAACTCTTACCCTAACCCCACAAAACCCCTAAAACCCTTACCTTAACCCTAACCCCTAAAACCTAACCCTAATCCCAAGACGGTGGAACTGCACATGCGCAGAAAGGCTCGATAGCACGTCTCGATAGGTAGTATTTTTCGACAGAACACCGGCAACGCATTCAACTTTTATGAAAAGCTTTTCCCCTTTCTATATTCTGTACAGTCTTGAGTTTCGTAAATGGTTCATAGACTTCTAGCTGTTCATTTGACTGAGTACACAGATGTTACAAATGCAAACTAACCGAGGATTCCTCCTAATTTGGTCCGGCGGGCAAGTGTTGTTTATTTTATGAATAACCCCATTCAAAGCCCAAGGGCTATTATAAACATCACAGTATTATTCATAGTAAACTGTATACCAGACACTCGGAGGTGGGTCTGGCATGCATATTGTATTTTAAAAGCTAAAAGATTAAGAAAGGAATTATTAAATTATATTATTTAGGTTTTATTACGTAAGAAATTGAGTTTGGGAAGGCAGCAAACTTTTAACCTGAATATGATTTAATTGATGTACATATTCATAATATCTAGCAAAATGCAAAACAATTCAGAGAACTTCTGTTCGCTTTGCGTTTGTAGGCTACGTGTTATAAAATAGGCTACACCGTGCTATTAACAGAACAGACGACTTTAAACAAAACAGCTATAAACAATGTTTTCTATATTCGACATATTATAAAGATTTTCACTATAGTTCGTTTAATTGTATACAGAGCAGCTACTTTAATACAATGCAACATATTCAAAAGGTTTCCTTCCAGCGTGTGTATTGCATAATGTTGATATTTTAGGGTGTTGAGCCCAGTAAACATAAAAACATGATAAAAATGCGAAATGACATGAGTATAAGAAGCGAAAAATCTCACAGAGCATTACTGCGCTACCCAAAACAAAGGTTAAAAGCATTTTGACATTTAACTTGCCTTTTCGGCTATAAGATGAATAAGACGCACGCATCTTTTAATTTACATGATCCGCCCGACTTGTTAAAAATAAAAGCATAATATCGTCCACTTTGAGTGTTACACTAATTAATTGTGGGCGTTTCCTTATCTTTCAAAAAAACCATCGACTGGCGTGTCATAAGGCAGGCGTACAGGTTCGACTTTAATACAAGTTTTTAACAAGCATGAAATTATGCACGTCTCTTTGCATCAGTGTCCGATATCAAAAACATATGCAACTCACCGAGGTCTTCGGCTTGGTCGTCCATGGGTCGATGTGAAAATAATAGTAGCTATTAATTCCGCACCCAGTCGGCTTTTGCGTAAATATCTACGCAAACCCCCGCAGAAACATTCCCTGTCTTAACTCGGCTCCCCTTGAAATGTCAATAAGTTAGACAATAGGTCAAATCCAGCCACGCCCGTACACACGACCTCCAGCCTGACCCAGTGCTGCCGTACACTAGACAGCATGCAGTCTAAAGGAAATCCATGACTATTTATAATGTATAAGTGAAGTTCATCATGAGCCAGAAAGAGACCCAAAATGTTTAAATATGACCACTCTGCTAAGAAGAATCTTTTAATATAGGTGCTATAGTACAAAAAACAAAACAAAACAGTACGATACAAAACACTCCTATCAGGTTTTCAATAAAGGATTAAATGCCTGCTGGTTAATTTAATAATTAACACAGCAAATGATCTTGTGTATTACCGGATTTTATTTTAATTTCTTTACCCGTTTTAATTTTTGACTAACATGTGCATGTATATTAACAATAATTAGGTCTAACGCAAAACAACTAATGGATTGTGAGCCAGGCTTTAAAGCACAATTTGTTTTATTCTTTATAATCAATCATTTCACACATGTTCTTCCAACAGTCAGATACAATGGGAACTGGTTTTCAAAATAAATAAATATCCAAAAAACCATTGACAAACAAACATCCTGTGAATACTTGACTGTTAAAGTGAACACAAGTAAATAAAAGATTAATATACAGCAGTAAGAGAAAGAATTTGTTGGCAAAGGGGCAAGGTCTCAGTTATAAGTCAAAACACTCCTTTCTGCCAACCTAATAATTACTCCTATTGAGTCCCATAAATAGCCCATTGCTTTGTTAGTTTTTACCAAAATAAATGGACCTTTGTATAGCCACAATATAAAAGAGGAAATGAGCAGTGAATGTACATTGTGAGGCTCAGCTACTCAAGTTTTTTCTTTTGTGATTTTTTCCCCCATTCTTGGAGATTACTGTATGCATGTATGACGTTTCCCTAAAAAGACTAATAAAAATCAAGATTTACAACTGAATAAAAAATTGCATATTATATCTGGATTTAAAAATATATCTGTTTCAAAAACTATATCAGAGAAATGGCACAGAAGTTAGGCCAGTACCCTCACATTTCTGGGGTTGTGGGTTCATTTCCCAGCCTGTCTTTGTGTTCGGAGTTCACATACAGCTTTGGGGGGAAAAAAAATAAGAGGACACTCTACATTTAAAATAAATCTACATTTTTAAGTCCTGGTTTAAATCTGATTCTGCTGGCACTACACAATAATAAGGTGAAGCAGGAGACTCTGGCAATAACCAAAAACCAGCCAGGTAGAGGGCAGAAGTGACTTTCTAATGGTAGAGATGATCGGCAGTGTCTCATGAATTGAGGATGACATCAAGTGATCTTCAAAAGGAATGGGAAACATTAAGTGGTGTAAAGTGCACTGCTAGGACAGTTCATAACAAGCTCCTAGAAGCAGGACTGAAGACCCAAAAAGTAAGGAAGAAGCCCTTCATGAATGAGAAGCAGGGAAGAGCCAGGCCGGAGCTCGCAACTATATTTTGCACAGACGCACACCCATAGACTTAGAAATGAGTGAAACTGGAAATTTAGCGGTGGTCTCCTTTTTTCCAGAGCTGTATTTGTGTGGGTTTTCTCCAAATTTGATATTCATCTGCAGTCCAAAAACCTCCATCTTGGGTGACTGCATGTGTGAGTGTGTCCTTGTACATTATCTACATTCCATCAGTCATGTAAACAGAATGTATTTAAAACAGATTGTCAAAATTATCAAGCAGAAACAAAACAAACAAAAAAGGAAATTTAAAAACCCTATGGCTCTAAATGCGTTTAAGATTAGGAATGTTTTATGCGTTGTGGGCATGGCCAGTCTGGCACACATATCGGCGTAACCATAATATACAGTACCGTGCAAAAGTCTTGGGCAGTCAAAGAAAATTATCTTTAAATGATCTTCATTTTGGTGTGAAACTACAATATTATGTCTTTTAAAGTATGTCAGCTTAGCCATTGTAACACCTCTCCTAAGTCTCCCCAGTATTCGCAGCAACCAATCAATTCATCCCATGTACTTTTGACTCAACTTCATATGGCAAATAAGTACCTCACTGAGTTATCTAATTAAGTTAATTGATTAATTGAGCTGGTGGTGAAATTTAACAAATATGTGGAATGGCTGGGGTGCCCCTGAGGAGAGGTTTGGAAACGGAAGCAGTGATCATCTAACCATCCAAATGGACATCAGTAACGTTTTGGAGAACAGAAGAATTGTGTTATTTTTTGAGCAGATATACACTTACTGTCCAGATAAATTGCCTTAAAAAAAAATTTCTTTGACTGCCGAATACTTTTGCTCATTACTAGACATATAACTCGTAAAACTGCAAACCATTGAGATTTCAACATGAGTTCAGGTTGACTTAAATCACAGAGTCATTTTCTTAAAATGCTTACAGCCAGGACAACTTCTAAAACACGAGATCTTTTCTTTACAAAATAGAGCAGCAGAGACATTTTCCAGGATAGTCATCAGTGAGGACCCTGTGCTCTACCCCATATACAAAGTAGATGTAGGTCTTTTCCTTCCAGCAGTAGTGAACCCGGGTGATGGGGATTAGCTCAATGGTCTGCTTCTAAATCCAAAAGATGTAAGAATGTGAGGAGGTCCTACGCATGTGCACCCATGCAAGGATTATGAAAATAATATCTACTAAAATAACAAAATGCACTTTAAACCAAAGACATGGCAGTCGAGAAACCACAGCGACAGATTTCTCATGTTTGTAGTGATTTTTTTTTTTTTAAAATGATGATACTTTATTCACCATTTGTACAATCATGAGTTCTGGTACATAGGAATTCTTTCATTTTCGCATATCCCACCTTACTTTCCTTTGACACATATACATATTGTTGCTGTCCAATGAAAAACACGCATCTCCAAAAACCGATTATTTCAGGAATGTGAAAGAATGCATTTTTTTGGTAAATACTTCACATAATAAACCTAAAGCAATGAAAGGAGACACCCTTAGCACCACAAATAAAAACATATTACTGCACAGCTGTCAGTGAAGTGTTTTAAATGTACTCATGGGGTTTGTTGTCAGGAAATGCAGAGTTACGTGGTTCTCTTATGTGTTTCACGGGCATCTCCCTGTACACTACACTCCCGGAACTCAGTAGGTTATAGACAGCTAGTTTAAACGTTTGGACATAATCAGTGTCCTATCATACGGTACATTTACCATCAGACAAAGCTCTTCTAATGAGATGGGTAGATGACTTCTTAAATCATCTTTTGATTGGTCAATTAGACATCAAATGCCATTGGTAGACAGAGGAGAATTGTCAAAGAACGGACATACAAGGTTTTCATTGGACAGGGACAATATATAAGTGAAACTGAAAGTTGAGGTGAGAGCGCAGGGTCAGCTATCCATCCAGCGGGGTTAAGGGCCCAACGGTGATGCGAGTACTTTGCCAACCATCACTGATGGGAAGCACATCAGTGATTTGACAATGTGTCCACATTAACAAATGGCTGTTACCTGTTGGAGGATACGGCCAGTTGAGCAAAATTGGGCCTGGTGTAGCCTTACAGCTTCGTTTGAAGCCCTGTTGATGTCGTTGTCCGGAAACCCAATAACAGGGTACACCTTGGAGATACAACACGGAAGCAGCCATCAGCGGTCAACAGGAAGTACCACGTCTATCACAACAACTCAAAACCACTAATCAACAGTGCTGCTCCAGTTTTCTGTAGCGCTCTGCTGAGGACAAGGCATTCCACAGTGTCGGCTGGCTAACAGGCTAATTGTTTTTAGCATCTTTAGGTGATTAAATGGGGGGGGGGGGGGAAACAGGCAGTCATCTTGGGGTGCGAGGTCCCCCTGGTGCCCCCACCCCCGATGCCGACACTGACTCGAAGATTAACATTTTGTCAGGCTAGGAGTTCAGATTAACGGATTTATTCGATTTTTGTAGCTAAGATAGGAGCTATAGACGTTCATCTCACCAGAGGCTGAATGTCACTGAACACCGTGTCCCCTGTGACTTGGCTGAGCTTTTCCGTCGGGAAGCCAGATTGCTTGTTTGCCACACTCTCATATACGTTGTTTTTCCTGAGGAACGTCACGAGGGAAAGTACCGGCATTGTTAACAGGTCATTCTTACACAACAGATACAATATTAGCAGAGAATACCACAAAGAAACACATTCACTCAGCAGTACAGTGGAGACATGCTACCCACTCAATCCACTGTTGTCTTTTTATAGAGCTGCTTGAGGGTGAGTACCTACACAGCCAGAACACACACTGCATATTTTATCAAAACTGAATTATGACTGAAATCGGGTCTCTGAGGCTCTGTTTTACCTTCTGACAAAATATCTGTTCAACTCTCAGGCGATTTTCAGATAACAAAATGTGAAAATTACAATAACTACAAAAATCCACACCAAACCAAAGCAAACCAGCCTTTTTCTCAGTTTGTGTCAGTTTGGTTACTGAATTTTGCCTTTGTGGTTAAGTATACAGCATACTGCATTTTATTATATGCTTTAAAACATTATCGTTGTCAAGGGCAAAATGATCCCCCCGTGCCAATCACAGCAATCAAAGTTTAGAGAGGAGACATAACCTTTATAGCAAAAATATTAATGAATTCCGCCAAAACTCAATAACTTTGTAGATTGTGATATCTACCACTATGGGAATCGATTACTATTTTTCCTTTTATTTAAAAATATGAGCCATCATGCCATTTCTTTTCATGTTATACATGCTGAGAACATGCAGAGGGCATTATCAAGCAGTCTATACCATTTCACCGTGAGCTTAAGGTAAGTGACGAGCTGTCGTTTTCCTTTGCAGGTGTTGCATGTCTGTGTGCCAATTCCAGAACAAGAAGTGCATCTGCAACGAATAAATGAATGAATGAATGAACAAAAAGAAACCACAGGGTTTTTAAAGGAATGAACGTATAAGATATTCCTTCTGAACAAGAGTAATGGAGGTACAGTCTCACTTGACCCGGCCAACACCAGAGCACCGAGGACAAGGCTGCGCTGCTGAGTTGACTCTTCCCAATCCACCGCAAGACGAGCACTGTACCTGAAATCATATAACCAAGGATTTCAGGCTGCTAATAATTAAAAAAAATATATATTAAAAAAAAAACTATAGCATGTTTTACTTACATATCCTGATGCTGTACATGTCGTACAAGCTATTCTACCCAGAGCCAAGCAGGATTCACAGCCCTACACGACCAAAACCACAATGATGACTGGCACACTTTGTCAATATTAATGCAAAAACTTATTGAAGTTCAAAATGACCTAATTTTAAGACAAACAAGTAAAAATACTCCAGGTGAAGCAGGTCGAGGTGCGGGATTCAGCTGATTTTTACGAGCAATACAAATCATTACGGACCTGTACTTTGCAACCTCAACTCAGAGACAGTCATGTGACAATCAACTGACAATCAACATGTTGTCCTTTTTAAAACTGGACAGACAGGGCCATAACCAGCAACTTCCTAAAAAAAACAACCGCTTGTCCATTACTTATTCGAAATCAGCAATATTATAAACAGCATTGTTTGGTTCTTCCTCAAACCAATATGACCCATAGTACGCTAAGCAAACCATTCTGCCTTACGATGTAAAAACAGCAAAGTGCAAACAGGACTTCATAAGTCCCACAAATCACACTTCTTTTCTTCGCAAATTTCTTAGCATAACCTTCTAAATCATTTTGAATTAGCCCGTTCATTTTTTCATGGGGGGGATTTATCGTCTGGGGAATGCCGAGGTTGGGTCAAACATGCACTTAATCCCGCTAATACTTCAGCCGAATTTATTTATGCTGCACTCCCCAACCCCCCCCCCCCAAACCCCCACACCCCTCAAATGTCATACATTTTGAATAAATATTACACAAAGGAAAATGAACAAAAAAAATCAAGAGGCTTCCTTACTTTTACAGTGGATGTGTAGGGGACACGGATGTCTTGTGATGCATCCTCAAAAAGAGCCGAAAATGAAACAGCGATATCCCACGGACCTGGTGCATGTCCCATACCCCCATCCACGATCCCACCTGACAGGAGAGAAGATGGAGAAAATGAAGCACTAACAAAGTTCTCTGAAATGGCATCGCCTTTGGATTTGACGAGCCCAGTATAACACGTAACATTGCTTCTGCATTTTAATTAAACAACACTGATGCTGGACTTCACTTGACCTAAAATATGATAAAGTAAGAGAGGTTAAGATTAAAAATGTACTTTATTGATTACAGGGGGAAATCCTTTAGCAGGGGAAATTCTTTCAAGACTTTACAATTTTTAAGAGCGGTCAAAGCGGGCGATCCATGACATCCACACTACACGCTGTCTGAGGGAAGTGAACTGTATCAGGCGGGACCCCAGCCACCCTGCACTGTCACTTTCCACCCTCCTCCCATCTGGGAAGCGACTAAAGTCCAGTCGAACGCGCACCTCCAGGTTCAGGAACTGTTTCTACCAAACTGCAATCAGACTCATGAACAATCAGTAACCTTGTGTCACCTCCACTGCTACCCACACATATACTTCTGCCACTGTCTCTATTTATTCCTGGGATTCTGGTCCTATTTATTTATTTACTCATTGTCTTGTTGTCTAGCCGTCTTGTTGTCTATGTTCACTGTCTGCAGGAGCACATGCAAGCAAGCATTTCATTGTACATGGTACTCGTACACATGACAATAAATAATTGAATTGAACTGAAAAGAGTCAGATTTCTTAAAAAATAAATATGGTTAATACTTATTTTTCTCCTTCGTAAAATATGAAAATTTATATTAAATATGATACTTCACCATTGTATGGCTCAGTGGCCCAGTCCATAGATCTGGTCTCGGTAAAGGTTACCAGCCGGTACTGAAAGCCAGATATCACATGCTTTGTTAGTGTACTGGTAATCCTTCTGCCATGACATTTCATTGTGACGTTAATTTCCCTGAAAGTCCAGTTGGGCAATTTAATCAGCATCATGCAACATGAGGCATTACAATACATTACACCTTCCTATCATTAAAGCAAGCTCACTATCTCTGTTTTCTGTCTTCAGGCTTTCTTTCTTTCTTTCTTTCTTTCCCTTTTCCGCTGTTTCATGCACCATTCTGTATCAATGATGTAATAATTGGCTGCCACACACTATTGTCAAACACCTGAGGTCGACTAAAAAGTGTTATATATAAATTAACTGGATTTATTTAAATAATTCTGAACACCCAAAACCAGCTGCATTATTAAAGTGATTCACTCATGGGTACTAAAGCTGCTCGTCTACATAAACCTTTGAACCTTATTAATTATCATACAGTAACTATCATCATCATGGCGTCCAGTTCCTTCTTGCTGGAAAAAAAAGTACTACTTACCCTATAGGTATTAAGGGGATGCATGTCCATTATGGACATTTGCTTAGCGGGGTTACTACGGTAGCAGCACTTGCTGGACACATACTCCAGAAAAGCCTCCTTTGCCATTTCTTCACCAATAGAGGGAATCCTCAAGATAAAATGAGCCAAGAGTTAGCTAGGATATGTTGACGGCAACATATAGATACAACTAGCTCTCATCAAGCCTATATTGCATGCAGGTAAGAGCAAGCTTGGGGCGGGGGGGGGGGGGTTCACTGCACAGGGTCAGCCAGTGTGCAGTGCCCCCTGCGGCTGGGGGTCAACAGTGGCATCAGGCTACAGGCCCTGGGATACTAACCGGTGACCTTCTGATCACTGGCACAGAGTCCTACCCACTGAGCCACACACTGCCACCCATGCGAGCAGTGATTAAAATAAATTCCACTTCCTGCAGAAGTAGTTTATCTTGCATCCAACTGGTGTCATGTCACATAGAGGGCCAGATCACACTTCCCTTTTCCACATCTCCTTCTCATTGCAGACGAGGGGACTTGATGTAAATTTCGCCATCAGGGGTTGTTGCAGATGACTGCAGTCGGTGTACATGTAGCCCGGATTTTTAAGTCTAGCAGAAACCTTGTGTGTCCTAGCCCATCAACCTTGCATGTGCAAGATAATTGAGTAGGTGTTTCCAGCAGGGGGCAGCGTGCACTTTTACAAATCAGTGGTCAACAGCGAAAGAGTAGAGGAAGAATAGTTGTCGTTGTAGAAGTTAGGGGAGGGTTGGAGTCTCGGAGATACCCACCCAATTTTACAAAGCACGACTATTCCAGCATTTTGAAATCTTAAAATTCACCAAGTTGGGGGGGTGGGGGGGTGATGTCGATCACCTGCCTAATTTTGTCATAAGGATTTCAAACTCCTGTGGTTTGTCTTATTACTGGAATACCTCCCAAGCCTTGACTAATAATTTTAAAACTGTTCTTAAAAGCTTACCCGTTTCACTACATCTACCCCCTACTGGTCTGGTGGAGTATCACTGTTGTATGCATGCAGCGACCGGCCGCATCCGCGGCCAAATGCTGAGGTGCAGATGACCGTCCCAAGCCCAAAACCGCATGCAGAAAAGTGAAGCATGAACTAAGCTTTAGTCATTAAAACATCTCTACTTCAAACTCCAAGGCAATTATTATAAATACAGAAATGTTAGTTGCAGTGATAGAACGTACACTAAAGGAGAAATAAATCAAAAGTACAGTCAGAACACGTCTTGAGGAAAAACATTAAAGTCTCCTTACTGCCAGGATCTGTTCTGGCCTTCCGGAGAGGGGGTCTGAGGAAAATCCTGTGCGGGAGGTGGCACACCTGTGAGCAGGTAAAGGGCAGAGTATCTAAGGTACAAATGAGCGTTCACCCTTGAGGTAGGTGCTGAAGATGAACCAGTGCAAGTAATTAACAAGGTCCATGAACTCACAACCCCCGCTGGCTCCAATCCCCTCATATCCTGGTACAGCATCCATCATCTCCTCAGGTGGCGCTGATGCCCAGGGCTGACTTGGGGTGTCTGCTTTATAATAAGAATTATCTGGGATTGCATCTCCTGTGGCAACATCTTGGTCACTATGGAGACATAAAAAATATGTTGTATGGGCTGCACGATATCATATCGTGATATAGTCGCATCAAATAACAATTGTAAATTAATCAGGTTCTGGGTCCCGGATTTTGCCAGATTACTGTGGGGACCTCACCGCAGATGTCCACTGCCAATTAGGATAATTCAAATTTATTAACTTCGAACAGCAAGGTAACGAAATGGTTGATTAAATTAAGTTGTATAATTAATTGGTAATCTTTTAAGTGCGCTGCTTGTAACTACAGCATTTATATTTCGCAAAATCGATTTAGTAAGGGCACGTGACACTCGAGACACGCACTTTTTCCCGCACGAGTTGCTAAATGAAAAGATTTGCACAAAATACAAATATATACACAGAATCAACATTGAGAAAACGTTTAGTTATTAATCGCTGTCCATAGGTTTGTATTTCGTAAAATCGAAAGCAACCAATCATGTGGCCGGGTCTGCTTAAAATAAAGAATTTGTAATAAATAAAAAAATTAATAAACCATTAAAGATTACTTGTAACAAAACTATCCACAATAACAACGCCATGTTGCATCGCGATTTGTAAAGATTTGTACGCACTCTTGCACAGCATTTCTGTCAAGACAGGATATCAACCGAGAAAGTGAAACCAGTCGCCGTACGGGAAGTAGGCCTAAAGTTGTTTAAAAAATAAATTTTCACGATTTTAAACGTACGAATAACATTTGTGGAATCACCTTAGCAAATGGAGCTTGTCCATCCCGACGGCGAGAAAACACGTCAAAATCCTACTGCGTCAGTCACTTTAGTGAGGTTTCCTCGGAAAACGAAACTTTTCCTCCGACAAAGAAATGATGTCACTGAGGCGGAGATTACAAATCAGTATGAAAGTGCTCTGCAGGGATAGCAGAGAGGTACTGGTCCTCCATACATACGCTTGCTGGTTCGAATCACCCTTGTGAGATGTTGATTGAAACCCCCATGTTATGCGAGTTTTCTCCTGCAGCTCACTGGCTTCTCTTAACAGCCGTTAATATAGTGTGTGTGTGTGTGTGTGCCCAGTGATGAAATAGTTGCCAGCCATCCGACAGCCCCAAAGCTGCTATGGATAATTAATTGTGGCCTTGTGGTAAGAACACATACCCAGAACATGACCAATAAACCCCTGCTTCATATGGGACACATTGTTTGATTAATAACTGCTATACATTTCTCAATGTAATGATCACTAGAGCAGATCCCCACAGATACTGTGCGATTCCGATGAGAGTGTGTGGCTCTTCATAAACAACAGAAGAGATTTATCTATAATGATTTTTGTCCATCCATCCATCCATCTATATATATATATATATATATATATATATATATATATGGTTGATTGGTCATCTTCTGTAACTGTTAGTCCAGTACAGGGTTGTGGTAGTTAAATATATATTTTTGTTTGCATTATTTTTCATTATAATATAAATAGGACTATGAAAATTACTCTTTACTGGCTAAGCGGTTATTGAAAAATGATGGATGACAGAATCATGTTTATTGCCGAATATCTGCATATAAGAATATATTCATAATCCTCAAATGTCACATTTATAAAAATGTCTTTACAATTATCATGTCAGGAATGGTTCCGCCTTGTCCTGTTCCTGTTCATTGTCTCCCTGTTTCACCAGCAGGTGTCACTGGCCATCCTGTCCGTCCCCTGTGTTTCATTAGGTTTAGCTTTCTGTTTTGTTCCTAGTGTGTTCCCTTGCTCCCTAGGCTACTGTGTGGCTGAATGGGCTAAGCATACAGATGAGAACCATGCTTCCCTACCATTGTGGATTTAGGGCTGACCAGCCTCAACTTTGTTGGGCATTTTTTAGGTTTTTGCCCTTCTTGGTTATCTTGCATTTATGTTATTTCCATATTGATTCTTGTTTTTATGCCTGTTGCATTTAATTTTGTAGTTATGTCCTGTTCTTCCTAGTGTTTCATTCTTAAGTCCACAGTGATTGTTTATTACCCTCATCTGTTCCTTGTTGCCCCAAGTCTCTAGTGTTTGTGAGTAATTGGTAATGACCCACGCCTGTCCCTTGTCATGCCCTTGTTATCCACATATTTAAGTGCCTGTGCTTACTCTTTCTCGGTTGGTCATTGGATTTGCCTGTTCTGGCCCCTAGTTAGTTGTCTATGTTCCATGTTTCCCTAAGTGTTAGGTTTACCCCCATTTACTCCTTATACCCTACATGCCTTTGTTTTTGCGACTAATGGTCCATTTATTTCCGGTGTGATTTGTATTTAGTTTCTAATAAAAACCCCTTTGTCTGTAAGCCGCACCATGAATCATCCTTCCACCATGCCCTACCATAACACATCATCATTATAATTTTGATTTTACCCGAGCCAATATTGTTTATGAACTCTGCGATTAAGTTCATTCATACAGTAAGTTGATAAGTTAATGAATATTTCACAAATATGGCCTTGCATCAACTTCGCACTTGGAACCGGGGCCACCGGACACAAGTCAATTTGGATGTATCTCGATAAGGGAAAGGCAGGACATTTACCTACCAGTACTATAATATACACAAAGTATTGTACAGCAAATAATAATGTAAATATCACAATACTTTATAATATAAAAGCAATACACACACTGATGTCCTACTATGTCCGTTTCTCCATCAGTGTATATTATTCACTATGGACCCCGAATGTAAATGTGATCAGACGTGACTCGATCAGGTGTAACGCAATATAAGACTTTATTGGTGTGCAGCCCAGGTACGGCATACAATAACCTAATTTTCACTTTAAAGAAAAGCCAGTGGAGGTGGAATTAATGTCCAGCAATAATTCACAAAATGCAGAGAAGTGAAGAAACTCTGAAGCCGATAGTTTTATTTGCTTTTTTCCCCCATACAGTTTTTCCATACAGTTACAACCCAGGTACATCAATACATTGTCTCCTGAACTCTAACCTTTCATGATGGATCTGTGTTCTATAATTATAGTGGTCAGTGTTGTTATAACTACAAGGGTCAGTATTTGGTGATTTGATATCAGCTATAAATATCCAAAACACAGTTTTGCATATTAATATCCATCACACCTGTAATAGTATAAAGATTAAAGCTATAATATTTATGAAAAGATATGTCATTAAACCATCAATAATAGAGGTGAGTACATTTATATTTTTTCTACACTACTATACAACGTTCACATATACCATTATATTGTAATACTTGCTCCCAAATCAAAAAAAATAAATGCAGAAAAATGAATGCACGTAGCATTACAGCACAATGTAGCATTACATTGTCACAATAATGCTCCACATGCTCAGTATTTTTGACTCTAAACATATATATATGATGACAATTTATTAGGTGTGATCAGTTATACAGAGCAGCAGGCTTTCTGCTCTACAGTATAGTGCAGCAGCAGGTGGCAGGGTAATCGTTGGTGTAGACCTTATGCTCATTCCCATACACGATATATGAGAGCGGCCGCTCTTTCCACGTGTATGTTACCTTTGATATTGGAATGTATTCAATCGTTTGCCGCTGGAACAAAAGATGTTTCACAATTAATTCTGATATTCAGGGACTATATTCAAAGACATCCAAAGGCAATGTAAAACTCAAGTCTAAATCATGAACTGTCAGCATCTAACAGGCAACTTTACTTTTAATATTGCAGTTTTATTATACGGTTGAAAAGACATGCTTGGATTCCAGCAAAAATTAAAATGATTTTCCATTAGAATGATTTTGGAGAAATATTTTTAAGCTTATTTCTTAAGGAAACTTTTTTGTAAGTAAAGAATTCAATGCAAATAACGATAAAAAGTATAGTAATAGTAAATTCATAATCCAGTAACATACTGTAGTAGCTTATTATCATGATCAAGCATTATGTACATCAGGGCTATTCAACTCACGGTCCTCAAGGTTTGAGCCCTGCTGATTTTCCAGCCTTCCTTCACCTGTGAGCCAGGTGTGAAGCCTCTGACCAATCAGAATCAGTAATTATTGAACTAACTACCTGGGAGAACTGAAAACAAGGCCTGGATTTGGAATCGAGGGCCTGAGTTGAATAGCCCTGACGTACATAATTACATGTACTATACCTTTATACGACTGTTTACACCAACATCACCACAAACACACGAGTAATGCATTGTGCTGTGACGCCAGTAGGTGATAGGAAATTTTTAGTTCCATTATAACCTTATTGGACCACCATCATATATGTGGTCCCTCGACTAAAACATTGTTATGCGACACAGGACTGTATAGAATGTACAGCAACACCTGCTCCAATTTAAAATGTTTTTAATTAGTCAAAATGGGCTACAAGCAATCTTTAATGCAAAGGGTTTAAATGCCTTCATGGAATGGACTTCCATGGCCGAGCAGCTGCATGCAAGCCTCACATCACCAAGCACAATGCCAAGCGTCAGATGCAGTGGTGTGAAGCACACTGCCACTGGACACTGGAGCAGTGAAAATGTGTTCTGTGGAGTGACGAATCACGCTTCTCTGTCTAGCAGTCCGATGGATGAGTCTGGGTTTGGCGGATGCCAGGAGAACTTTACCTACATGACTGTATGGTGCCAACTGTAAAGATTGGTGGAGGAGGGATAATGGTATGGGGTTGTTTTTCAGGGGTTGGGCTAGACCCCTTAGTTCCAGTGAAGGGAACCCCTAATGCTTTAGCATACCAAGACATTTTGGACAATTCTATGCTTCAAATTTTTTATTTTATTGTCAATTGCTGTTTTATTGCTGTCCTTTTAAGGATCGCGCAATAAAAGAGTCTGCTAAAAAGTTAACTTTGCTGTCCACCTCCTGATCTCATCACCACTTTGAGTGTCACAATATTTTATTCATTTTACCTGCGACAAGTTTAGAATTAATGTTTAAATCGGGTCAATGGATCGATCTTTCAGTTTCTACAAAATAAAAGAACAATGTAACATTATTCCATTAATAAGCTGGCAAGTTGTTTCACAGCCAGCACCGACGATAATAGAGAAAACTATATTAGTTATGAATTGAATTTTCCAATTATGTGGAAGGTTTGGACATGATAGCCCACTCTCGCTGATGTTACTGTTCCAAATTCAGAGACTAGCTTATCTGTGGTGCCATGCTGGAGTGGTTTTTTCTGGCCCAGAGCCAATTTTCTGCAGTGGAAACGCGCAAAACAAGTTCCAGACAGAGAAAAAGCTTGGCACCTCATTGTGCCCCCTCCCCATTTCGAGATTGGAGTGTGTCAGCCATAGGCCATACCTGCTGGAGGATGCGGGCCGTTTGGGAGTACTGTGCCTGGTGCTCCCTCACCAAGCGCTCGGACTCATGATTCAGCTGGGCGTCTGGGAATCCCATTACGGGGTACACCTGTGTGAGGCAATCATTAAGGTCGCACACATCTTCAAACAGTTACATGGCTGTTGAATGAACAATAGGCAGCATATACTTTGCCATGAATGTCGTTAAAGTTTTCGTTACCAGCAGTTTGGTGTCCTCTAACAGTTTCTTTCCAGACACAGTACTGATGGTGTCAGACTTCAAGCCGCTGGATTGTTCCATAGTATAGTCCGATTTATTGTTAGTCCTAAGTTAATCAAAAGTAATGAATGAATAATACATATATATAGTTAAGGCATATTATTCAATTTCTTTCCATCCATCCATCCAATTTCCATACTCTACACACATCATTGTCAGGTAATAATACCATAATAATACCAACAATATATATCAACCAACTCAAATTTTAGGTAGACCTTGTCATTCATCTGACATAATGACACTTGACCCAATAATTTTCTCCAGAGTATTTGTACAGGTGAATATTTTACTAGGGAACTTGAGATTAAGAACCATTCATTTAAGTCCATTTAACTTCTTCTAGACCACTTACTAGTCAATGACCAGTCCCTATGGGATTTCATGGAGTGATTGTCGTAGCCAAAAATACTTGATTTTACAGTGACTTTTCTCCAAATTTCAAATGTAACTTGTGGACTTGTGTGTTTTTTTTGCAGAACATTTGTATAACTTGGCAAAATTGCAAGTGACTTTTGGTTTGTGTCAAGTCCTAGTAAAAAAACACTCAATTCAACACAGCAGCTAATGAAATTAGTGCCTGTTAAGGCATTACAGGATGTGTCATGGTCCAAAAGCAAGGAGTGAATAACTATCCAGCCTTGTTCATTTTGAAAGACTTTAGATGTGTTAATTTCAATTAGAAAGAAAAAGCTAAAGAATCTCAATATTATGCATATTAAATCGATCCATATGAAACCTGTGGTGTATTAGAGTGCATTTCCACTGCACCAGATACCGTACTTTTGATACTTCAGAAAGGTCCCGAAAGTACAGTACTTTGTGTTATTTTTCCACTGGTGTTTTCATACCTTTATAGAGTATGGATATTATAGCGTGGATGGTGTATTTTCTATACAAGATTTTAACTCTGTCACAAGAAGAAAAAGAAAAAAAACTTGCAAGCTTTGCAATATTAATGATTATTCCTTTTCAAGATTATCAGGTACCGGTATATGTTTAAAAAAAAAAACAGTTTAAAGTTTACTTCTGCAGCAGTTGCATGAATACTGCATGCGTTCTCCAAGATAATCGTAATCGTTTTCACAGGAGTTAAGCTGACCAGCGGGTTCAGTAATTCCCAGACATTCTCAGATCTTCTCTGTATTTAGCCAACTCTATTAAAACATCAGAAAAACAAGGAAACTCCCCACAATCACAAATTTGTGTGTTTGTGAAAGTACATGCACACCTTGGTAATTTAATTACTGTATCCAATAAATTGTGAAAATGTGAAACTTTTGTGGACTCATGTTCTCCCTCGGCTTTTGACAGTCCGCAACGTTTCCGAAACAAACAGCCCAAAAGGAAAACCAAGCAATTTCTTAAATGGTCATACAACAATGTGTGATATACTTATTCAAAATCACAAGCACATACAGGGCCCACTAACACTCACAAAACTGTAAATAATGGTATTAGCTAATTTTTCCATTACTGTTCTATGCAGGTGGAACACAGAGCATCCTAAATTTCAGCTTGTGGTCAAAGGACATGAGTAAACCTACACAGATCATGTACTTTGGCACTTGTGAAACTTACAGCTGATTTGTGAAATTAAATTGTATTCCTCATATCCATTGTTATCTATGCAGGTGGAACACAGACCTAATGCTGAAAAGGCAAATAACCCAGCAACTACATTTCAGCTTGTGGTCAAAGGCCATGAGTTAACCTGCACATACACTACTCAAAAAAATTAAAGGAACACTGTGGAAACACATCAGATCTCAAAGGAAAAAAAAGTCATGCTAGATATCTATACTGATATGGACAGGGTAATGTGTTAGGAACAAAAAGATGCCACATCGTTTGATGGAAGTGAAAATTATCAACCTACAGAGGGCTGAATTCAAAGACACCTCGAAAATCAAAGTGAAAGCAGGCTTGTCCATTTTGCCGAAATTTCATTGCAGCAACTCAAAATCGTACTCAGTAGTTTGTTTGGCCCCCACGTGCTTGTATGCATGTCTGACAACATCGGGGCTGCTCCTAATGAGATGACGGATGGTGTACTGGGGGATCTCCTCCCAGATCTGGACCAGGGCATCACTGAGCTCCTGGACAGCCTGAGGTGAAACCTGGAGGTGTTAGATGGACCGAAACATAATGTCCCAGAGGTGTTCTGTTGGATTTAGGTCAGGTGACTGTGGGGGCCAGTCAATGGTATCAATTCCTTCATCCTCCAGGATCTGCCTGCATACTCTCGCACCATGAGGCCGGGCATTGTCGTGCACCCGGAGGAACCCAGGTCCCACTGCACCAGCATAGGGTCTGACAATGGGTCGAAGGATTTCATCCTGATACCTAATGGCAGTCATGGTTGCATAGTCTAGCCTGTAGAGCAAGGGTGCCCAACTCCAGTCCTGGAGGGCCGGAGCCCTGTGTAGCTTAGTTCTTTCCCTGTTCCAACATAAATGATTCAGCTGAAGAGCTGTGTGGTAATTAGCACAAAGAGTTGAATTAGGTGTGTTAAATGAGGGGAAACCCAAAAATGTGCAGAGCTCTGGCCCTCCAGGACTGGAGTTGGACACCCCTGCTGTAGAGGTCTGTGTGCCCCTCCATGGATATGCCTCCCCTGACCATCACTGACCCCTCACCAAACCGGTCATGCTGAACAATGTTACAGGCAGCATAACGTTCTCCACGGCTTCTCCAGACCCTTTCACATCTGTCACACGTTCTGTGTGAACCTGCTCTCATCTGTGAAAAGCACAGGGTGCAAGTGGCAGACCTGCCAATTCTGGTATTCTATGGCAAATGCCAATCGAGCTCCACGGTGTCAGACAGTGAGCACAGGGACCACTAGAGGGCGCCGGGCCCTCAGGCCACGCTCATAAAGTCTGTTTCTGATTGTTTGGTCAAAGACATTCACACCAGTGGCCAACTGGAGGTGATTTTGTAGGGCTCTGGCAGTGCTCATCCTGTTCCTCCTTGCAGATACAGGTCCTGCTGATGGGTTAAAGACCTTCTACAGCCCTGTCCAGCTCTCCTAGAGTAATTGCCTGTCTCCTTGAATCTCCTCCATGCCCTTGAGACTATGCTGGGAGACACAGTAAAACTTCTGGCAATGACACATCAATATGCGCCATCCTGCAGGAGTCGGACTGCCTGTGCAACCACTGTAGGGTGCAGGTATCACCTCATGCTACCAATAGTGACACTGACTGTAGCCAAATGCAAAACTAGTGAAAAAACAGTCAATAGACATTAGAACGGAAAAATGTCAGTGGCCCCCACCTGTTAAATCATCCCTGTTTTGGGGGTCGTCTCATTGTTGTCCCTCTAGTGCACCTGTTGTTAATTTCATTAACACCAAAGCAGCTGAAACTGATTAACACCCCCCTCTGCTACTTAACTGACCAGATGAATATCCAAGAAGTTTAGTTTACTTGATGCTATACTCTGATTAATAAGCATTCCTTTAATTTTTTTGAGCAGTGAATCATGCACTTGGGCTCTTGTGAAACCTGCAGATAATTAGTGAAATTAGCTTATATGCTTCATATTCATTATCTACGAGTTTTAGTGTCAAAGTCCATGATTTGTTTATGCCTAGTCATGTTCCTTGACCACAAGTTGAAATTAAGTTATTAGGTTCTTTGGCTTTGGAGCATTAGGATGTTCTATGTTCCACATGCATAGAAAATAATGGATATAAGACATATAATTTAATTTCATAAATTACCTACGATTTTCACAACAGCCAATATGCATGATATGTGCAGGTTTACTCATGTCCTTTTACCACAAGCTGAAATGTAGTTGCTGGGTTCTTTGGCTTTTCAGCATTAGAATTCTCTATGTTCCACCTACACAGAAAATAGAGCTGGATTATTTTACATTTTCACAATTTATTGGATGTAGTAACTGAATAACCAAGGTGTGTATGTAATTTCACAAACATGCATGAATTTGTGAATGTGGAGTATTCTTGTATTTGTTATATTTTAATACATTAAATACAGAGATGATCTGGTGAATATTGAACCCACTGCTAACTTAACTCCACTATAATTTTCATCCTTGCTTGTTTTAATCACTCCTAGACAGATTGGTGAGAAATTTATTTATTCTGAACACTTTTTTTGCTTTATAAATATCCCAGTATTTATTACAACAAAATTACATTGCGATATTTGAAATTTTTCCAATATTGTACAGCCCTAGTATTTTACACAAAATTCTGCTTTTTTTCTTGTCATGGCATCCTGATTTTGATCGTGATTAAATTTGTTTTCATGCATCCATTACATGGCTCCACATATCCATAGTTTTGTTTTTAACATAATCGTTGTTTTCTGAGTTTGTAACTTTTTTGAAGACACTGGTTGCATTGGGTTTCAGATGCAGGCTATTTGCAAAATAGATTAAATTTAACATACATAAATGTAAGGTAATCTATGCAGGGAGCAGAAATGTAAAGTACAGATATTTTATGGGTTCCACTGAAATAAAGGTCGCTGATTATGAGAAAGACCTCGGTGTGTATGTTGATGCTTCCATGTCCCACTCTTGCCAGTGTGGGGAAGCAATTAAAAAGGCCAATAGGATGCTGGGTTATATTTCTAGGTGTGTGGAGTTTAAGTCAAGGGAGGTGAAGCTACGATTATATAATTCCTTGGTAAGACCCGACCTTGAATATTGCTACCTTGGAAAGGGTGCAACGCAGGGCTACGAGAATGATTCCTGGTCTTTGAGGAATGCCATATGAGGAGAGGTTAGCTGAGCTGAATCTGTTTAGCCTCGAGCAAAGGAGACTATGGCCTCCTCTCGTTCGTAAATTTCTTATGCTCTTAAAACCAATCAACAAAGAGGGTGTTTGCAAGTCCTATCCCAAAGTACCAAAAAAAAATAGGCCAGGTACTGGAACTTTTGGTACTGGTACTTGACTGGAAATCAATGGGAAAAGGAAAGTATCAAAAGTACGGTAACTGGTGCAGTGGAAAAGCACCCATATGTACATTTAGCTAGTACTGCAAAGGACCCACTTCTGCCTCCATAACCACTCCGAACAGTCGATGTGTGTGTGACCAAATGTCCCCCACAATGTAATAAAACCCCGTTTTTTTTATATAGTGGGGACAATTTTTCAGGTCCCCACAAAGATCTGTGAATGCAATCAAAAAACTAAAAATGGCAGAAGTCTCGTATTTTGCTTGGTTACATATGGTTAAGGTTAGGGCTTACACAGATACGAACCATTTGACTTTCAGGTTGATGTAAACCACGAGTTTCCCCTTGCCTTTGCAGGTCTTACATTCCTGTGTCCCCTTCCCACTGCAATCCAAACACGTGCTGAAACATAGAGAGATGAAATTGTACAAGCAGTTAGTACTTGGTGGCTAAAGGGGCAGTGTGCCATCCATCCATCAATCCATCTTCCAACAGCCTAAACCATGCAGGTTTGTGACAAACTGTGGAAGCAATCCCAGACAGCATTAACAGTAGCAGTGCACCCTGCATGAGATACCAATAAATTGCAGGGCACGTACACCCAAGTATACAGGATGGGCAATTTAGAGATGCCAGTCAGCCTAATGTAATATCTGCAGGAGGAAACACCATGGAGATGCAATTACTGTACACAGAGAGCAGAGGCTGAATTCAAACTGCCAGCTCTAGAGGCCATTGTGCAAAACCAGTGAAGTAATCATAGGCCAGTTCCATTTCACCAATAAACCCCCTTCATCGGAACACTGTCACCGTGTCCCTTGACCAAGAACTTAGTGAATGCTGGTGATGTTGTCCAGTATTTACCTCTCAGCTACGCTGTTGTCTCCGTCACTGCTGGAAACTCCAAGATGACGCTGAAGAGTAAAGAGAGATCATGACCACATAGTCCGAAAGGAACAAAAAAAATACTCTTCCAAAGAACTCCGGCTGCCCTGAACATGAATTATCTAATGCTGCATTGTGACTGTGCATGAATTATGATATTAGTCAAACTTCCCTTATCCGGGCACAATGGGGCCGAGGGTTGCCCATAAGTAAGAAATGCATGTAACTTAGAAATACATGAACAGTACAGTACAATGTACATGTACATGTGTACACATACAAACTACAGTGGTACCTCAGAACTTGAATTTAATCCGTTCAGAACTCCGGATCGAATCCTAAAAAGTTCGAGTTGTGATCGAATTTTCCCCATAAGAAATAAGGGAAAACCAATTAATTGGTTCCCGGCCCCAAACAATTACACCTAATATGTTTTTTTTTTTTTTTAGCATTTAAAGACAAAATGAACCGGATAAAACAAGAAGAGCATATATTGTACTAAACACATCTAAGCTCATTTATCAAAACAGTAATTTGTAAAGCAAGAAAAATTTATCCAAACAATGGGTAAAGTTAAAACAAAAATGTTTCCTGCCCCAATCGTCCGCTCCTTCCGTGTGCCACGCCCCCTCGTTAACCATGTCTTCAAATATCGCCTACCGTAGACTCAGCCACTCCAAAATGGTATGCAACAACTGTGTGATTTTCCTTTTCGTATCTCTGTAATGATATTGAGCTTCTTTTGGAGGGACATGATCACTACGCTTCCTTTTTGATTTTGCACAGTTTTACGCGCCGCTGTAAGTTCAGCTCCGCTCACAGCCTCGTCCTCTAGCTCTCTCTCCATTCGACGTTCGCTCCACCTCCACGTGCAGACTCCGCCCACGACTCTCTGTATGCGGCATTCGTTACTTCCGTCTTCCGAAGTGAAAAGCCGACCACAAGACATCTGGGAAGCACTACTCACTTATTGATTATTGTTGCTGGTTTGCTTTTCTTTGATGGATATTACTGTGTATGATTTGTTTGGTTTATTGGATTTCTGATTTTCGCTTTGCCCTTGTCTGTACTTTCGCTTGGGTTTACTTGCCATTTGGTTTCGATCGCTCACCCAGTTTTGGGTTAACATCTTTATCGTTTTTGCTATATTCACTCCTTTTGCACCGGGTTTCTTTGTTCTGTGCCCGTGGCGTGTCAATAAAAACAGAAAAATATAAAGAATACCCCTTTGTCCACGTGTTCCCTTGTCCATCGCACCCTGTCCTTCCCTTACTCCACATCCCCTTTCCCTTTCACTCTGTTACACCACAACCCTAGACCAGGGCTCCTAACAACAGCTGCTGGTTGTGTAAAATTAATTTCCGCATGCAGGTGCCTAGAGCTGCCCGGTAGAGGGAGGTCCGGATAAGGGAGGTTTGCCTGTACTACTGAATGCCAGAATGCTCTTACTTTTCCAGAGCCCTCACATATGGTGCACTTTATTGTCCCATTGGCATGACAGGTATCACAATCCTAGGAACAAAAGAAGTACAATGTGAATATTTTGTCATTGTCTGTTTTTCTGCATCTTATCGCCATTATCGGGATTACAAACCCCTACACTGCCTGTACACTGCATACAGACACCTGCACTGCATGTACACTGCATACAGACCCCTACACTGCCTGTGCACTGCTTACAAACCCCACAAAACACCTACCTTCTGTCTGAAGCCATATGTTCTGCATATAATGCCATATGCTTCTCTTATAATCATAAACTCAGTAAAATTAATATGTACCTACAGATTAAATCTAAATACCATTAATACAAATTCCCACTTTTCTGCACTAGTTCAGAATATCTGACAAGAACACGGTCCTTCACATGCTAAAGATTTGTCAGCTGCACTGAAAGGCACTACTATCAACTCCACCACACTGCAGAGTGCAGTCATTTGTCCATGAGAATATGGATACCTTGAGAGATGAGGTGTTGGGAACCTTGATGTCTTTGGTGGTGTCTTTAAACATTTCTGGGGGCTGGGCAGGGATATTCCAGGGAGTTGGTGCCATTTGAATATGCGCATCGACTGACTGACCTTATGGGAACGAATAGGAGAGTGACAGAGATGGTGACAAGGAGAATCCTGACACAGAGTAAGACAGAACCAGTCGATAGGCGAACAAAAAGTAAAAGTCAAGTGTAATGAGAATGCGTAAGGTTACCAATTTACCTTCAATTCATTGACTACCAACATTCAATACTGAAATGAATACTAATATCATGCAGGACAGCCCCAGGGAAAACCGGAAGGATAATATCTCCCAGCTGGCTCGGGAACATTTAAGGATTCCCCAGAAGGAGCCAAAGTCAGTGATCATATAAAAACAAACCTGGTCTGACCTGCTCAGTATGCTGCCACCTCGACACGTGCGATACGTCATAGCAGTACTCAACGGTCATTCTAACACTGCGGTCAAAGGAAAGAAACACAGCAACTATGTGGAGTCTTGCTTTGCTGTTACCAGTGTAAGGCTCCTGGCTCCACTCTGTAGATCTGGACTCCGTGAAGGTTTCCAGGCGGTACTGTGGGGGGGCACACAAGGCACACCTCTGTTAGCCTGAGCGATTCCGAGCTGGTGGACATTCCCATCATACACACACTCAGCAAGATTCTCTTCTCTCTTCTGATGACACTGATATCTACTAATAACTCTTTGCTTTTCTTTCCTTTCTAAATTAGTCATGACAGGGTTCCAGCCCTAAATGATCCACAGCTTAAATAGCTTGATAACTCCAACATTCCTTAACTTGTTCTTGGAATCAGAAAAAGTAAATTAAAAAAATCAACACACTTTTTGTTATTCCTGGTTTTTTCCATTTAGCATTCATACTGTGTACAAACATTCAGTAACACTTTACTTGATGGGGCACAAATAATATGTATTAATTAACCAGAAACCAAGTCTTAGTTGCATATTGATCTCATGTTAAATCATCATTAATGAATCATGATGCATGTTTTATCAAGCATTTACTATATTTGTTACTATATCAGTTAATTCTGTAAACCTCTGCAAACAACTGAAGGAACCACTAAGGAACTACCGAGGGAACAAGTTATGAATAACAAGTTAAATACGGACCTCATGTTTGTCCATTATTAATGAATCATGATACGTCTTTTATCCCAAGCACTTACTATAAGTGATGGCGGCGCGAGTAGTTGTAGCGGCCGAGCGACCCTCAAGATTTAGCAGTTTTCTTTTTATTTTTTGTGTTTTTACATTTATTTTCCTGAATCGAGTGTCAGTCGCACATATGCAGTACAGCAGGACTGAACTGATTATGGTTGTGGAGCAATGAAAGTGGCTGGGACTTCATTCCACCGGAGATCCGAAGAACCGCAGTTTCTGTTTACAACATTCCCCCGCTGAAGCGGCGCAGGAAACGGAGGCACAGGAAACAGAAGAGGGGCAAGAGAGGTGGGCTGAGGGCTAGGCTAAATGCTAACCCCACAAACCGGCCATTCCAAGTCTCTTTCTTGCCAACTCCTGGTCACTCAACAACAAGATGGATGAGCTACGACTGTGGATTACCTCGCGCCGTTTGGATTACTGTGTGATGGTAATAACAGAAACATGGTTGGACTCTTTCACCCCACTAACTGCGACCGAGCTAACAGGCTATGCTACCTTCAGAGCGGACAGAACAACTGAGTCCAGTAAGAAGCGGGGAGGAGGACTGTGTGTGTTTGCAAACAACAACTGGTGCACTAACGCCACAGTTAAAGACATTCACTCTTTTCCGGACATAGAATACCTGATGGTACAATGCAGACTGTTCTATTTGCCGAGAGTGTTCACGTCGGTCGTCGGTGCCGCCATAGGCTAATGCTAAGCTAGCCTTGGAGGATTTACAATGCTCCATTAACCAACAGCTTATGGCGCACCCGGACTGTGTCATAATTGCAGTGGGAGACTTTAACCACGCAAACCTGAAGTCTGTCCTGCCTGGAGTATATAAAAACGAGAGCTTTCCGAAGAGGGAAAATAACATTCTGGACTTGGTCTACACCAACATTCCAGAGGCCTACAAAGCCATCCCTCTGCCACACCATGGACGTTCAAACCATCTCTCTCTGTCCCTGATACCTGCTTATAAACCTCTAATCTACAGACAAAGACCAACAGTTAAAACAATTCAGCTGTAGACTGAGGAAGCCACCGCAGCCCTACAAGACCGCTTTGACGCTACGGATTGGGAAATATTTGCAGAGGGAACAGACCTAGACGGTCACAGCTGCTGTGCTCTCTTACATCAACTTTTGCACTGGGAGTGTTACCACAACAAAGACTATTAAAGTGTTCCCAAATCAGAAGCCGTGGCTCAACAGCGGGGTGCGTGCCCTGCTTAGAGCACGAGATGCTGCCTTTAAGTCAGAAGATCAGCAGGCTTACAAAGAGGCACTTCGGTCCCTGCTGAAAGGCATCAAAAAGGCCAAGCGCAGACACGAACAGCGCATCGAGGAACACTTTGATAGCAACAACTGCAGGCATATGTGGCAGGGGATCAAGGCACTTACCGCCTACAAAGACTCCTACACACCAGCAGACTCTTCAGACAGCACCCTACCTGACACCCTAAATCAGTTCTTCGCCCGCTTCGACCAACACAATAGTATGGCCCACACTCATCCTGCTCTTCCAAAAAGGGTCGACACCTCCATCCAGGTCAGAACCACCTTATGCAGAGTCAACGTGAGGAAAGCAGCTGGTCCAGATGGAGTTGCAGGGATGGTACGTAAGGCATGTGCAGACCAGTTAGAGGTTTTCACAACCATCTTCAACCTGCTACTGCTATCTGTAGTTCCAACCTGCCTTAAGTCAGCCACCATTGTTCCACTGCCCAAGAAGAAGAGCGCAGTGAGCTGTCGGAATGATTCCCGCCCAGTTGCTTTAGCTCCCATCATTACCAAGTGCTTGGAAAGACTCATAATGACATCTGGACAACAGCAACACCTATGTGAGGATGCTGTTTGTGGACTTCAGCTCCGCCTTTAATACAGTACGACCCCACAAGCTGGTTCAAAAGCTGAGCAACCTGGGCCTCAGCAGCTCACTGTGCACCTGGATAATGGGCTTCCTCAGCAGCAGACCCCAGAACGTCAGGATGGGAGACCACATCTCCTCCACTCTCACCCTGAACCCTGAACACAGGCATGCCACAGGGGTGTGTCCTCAGTCCCCTCCTCTATTTCCTTTTCACTTTCAACTGTTCTCCCATTCACACCAGCAACACCATCATCAAATTTGCTGACGACACCACCATGGTAGGACTGACTGACAACAATAACGAATCAGCTTACAGGGAGGAGGTCCAGCAGCTGAGGCAATGGTGTGACAGTAATAACCTGGAACTGAACACACCCAAAACCAAGGAGATGATAGTGGACTTCAGGAGAGCCAAGTGGGCTGAGCACTCTGCTCTCTACATGGATGAAGAGGTAGAGAGGGTGGAGAGCTTCAAGTTCCTAGGGGTCCACATCTCCGCCGACCTCACCTGGTCCACAAACATCTCTCACCAGGTGGGGAAAGCACAACAAAGAATGTACCCCCTCAGGAAGATGCGTCAGGGTCACCTTCCACAAAGGCTGCTGACCAATTTTACCGCTAAACCAATGAGAGCCTCCTGACCTGCTGCTGCACAGTGTGGTTCAGTAGCTGCACTGAGGAAGACAGGAAGAACCTGCAGCGGGTGGTAAGGGCGGCAGACCGGGTAATGGGAACGGCACTACCCCCCCTTCAAGGACATTTACACTGGCAGACTCCACCAGAGAGCCAGTAAAATCATCAAAGACTCCTCACACCGTGGACACCATCTTTTCTCCCCCCTCCCTTCTGGTAGACACTACAGGTCAATCACAGCAAGAACAATGACGGCACTAAAAGCTTTTACCCACAGGCAGGCAAATGCGCCCATCCCCCACCCTCTGAATGACTGTTTCTGGGAAACAGTATCCACCCCCCTCAATGACTGTCTTCTATCCAATACTATGCTTAGGGCAGGTCGTTAAGCACACACTACCTCACACTGACACATTGCACTCAGACACTCATACTGTAATAGGATGGCTGTCTCTTTTTGTGTGCTGTTCTTATTTCTCTAATTTATTACTTTAAATTGTGCTGTCAGACAGAGAGCTGCTAAACGGTTTTTCACTATTTCTGTAATAGAGACAATAAAGATCTCTTATCTATATTTGTTCCTATATCAGTTAATTCTATAAACCTTTGTGAAATACTGAAGGAACAAATCACGAATAACAAATGAATCAAGATGCATCTTTTATCTCAAGTAGCAACTATATTTGTATAGTTATAACAAATATACTATATTTGTATAGTAATAACACATAGTTATTACTATTTGCGCCCCATCAAGTAAAGTGTTACCCATGATTCTACTCATTAGAGATTCACCCTGTAGGTGTTGAATGCCTTCATCTCGGTGATCTTCCCATCATTTACGGGGTCTGAGCCATAGCAGCAATGACCAGACACATACTCCTTAAGGGCGCTGCGTGCAGCTTCCTCAGTCAGCGGTGGGACACTGTTAAAAAAAAAAAGAAAAGTACGTAACATGGCCTCCCCAGACACACATATACATGCAAAGCAGAAAGCTGTGACCTCCTCTCACCAGCAGTCCACATTGTGCGGCTCAGGCTGAGGGAATGGATTTGCAGGAATCGGAGGAGGAGGGAGGAATCCACCTTAGATTAGATTAGGAGAACTTTATTGATCCGTGCAGCAAGTCACACAAATGCACGGACACAAAAGAAAAAGTTAGTTCAAAACAGGCAAGGTGCAGAGACAGTACACATAGTACACCTAACTGGATTTTTGAGAAACAGTTATTAATAAAAATCATACCCACTGCTTAACAAATTACAGTAACAGGACAATGGGATATTGTGAAGAGTATTAGTTTTAGTACTCAAATCAAATAATCAAATAATTTTTTATTACATAAACGTATACACTCACTGGCCACTGTATTAGGTACACCTTCCTAGTTCCAGGTTGGACCTCCCTTTTGCCTTCAGAAATGCCTAAATTCTTCATGGCTGCATCTTCATGATGTGAATCTCCCATTCTACTACATCCTATTAGTGCTCTGTTGGCTTGAGATCTGGTGACTGTGGAGGCTGTTTGAGTACAGTGACCTCATTGTCATGTTGATGAAACCAGTCTGAGATGACATGAGCTTTTTCACAATGTGTGTTATCCCGCTGGAAGTAGCCATTAGCTGGGTGCACTGTGGTCATAAAGGGATGGACATGGTCAGCAACAGTACTCAGGTAGGCTGGGACATTTATATGATGCTCAAGAGGCCAAGGGTGTGGCAAGAAAATATTCTTCACACCATTACACCACTAGCCTGAATCGTTGATACATGCAGGATGGATCCAAGGTTTCATGGAGTTTACGCCAAATTCTGACCCTAACAGCTGAATGTCGCAAGAGAAATTGAGACTCGTCTGACCAGGCAACGTTTCTCCAATCTTCCATTGTCCAAATCATTTTCGCCCAGAGAACTGCCGCTCACTGGATGTTTTTTTCCCTTTTTCAGCACATTCTCTATAAACCTTGGAGATGGTTGTGTGTGAAAATTCCAATAAATCACCAGTTTCTGAAATACTCATACCAGCCCATCTGGCACCAACAACCATGCCACGTTCAAAGTCCCTTGAATCACCTTCTTCCACATTTTGGTGTTTGATGTGAATATTAAATGAAGCTCCTGACCTGTATCTGCATGATTCATACATTGTGCTGCTGACACATGATTGGCTGATTACACATTTGCTTCAATGAGCGGTTGAATAGGTGTACCTGATGAAGTGGCAAGTGAATACATAAACCACTAATAATGATTAATGCAGTCTACATGACATGACATGAAATATATTAATGGGTTGTTCTGAAAACTTCTTTACATACGTAATTCTCACAAAGGATTCATACCGGGAAAATTAAGTGTAACAGGAAATCTAAGCATTTACCTCCACCTACACCATCATAGCCTGGGATGCTGGCAAAACCCATCGGGGGACTTGCCAAACCTTGGAAATTTGCAGTAGGAGGGGGGTACATGTCTGGGAGAAAGAGAGAAGAGATCATTCAGCAGGGTTGCTAACGTGTCAAGGTAATTTATCTCAGGTGAGTGGGTGTGTATTCGTGCTCCGACATTTATTCCATGTGCCACTGGACAAAAAGCAGAGTGTTACATTCCTCTGCAAAACGTTTCGTTCGCAATGCTAACAACAGACATCAAGTTTGAGGGGCCAACGGGGACACAAACAAGTCCAAACAAATTACGCTTTTGTCAGCTGTTTCGTTAGTCAAGAACTCTGGACTATGGTATGGTATGGGTGTCATCGTAGGAGAGACCGAGCCATCAGTCAAAGTGCTATCTTAATCCTTTCTTCAGGATTATGAAAAACCCCTATCTTTTGGTCAAGAGGCAGATCAAAAGGACTAAGAATTTGGAGCACGGGACAGGACTGTGTCACTCAAAACCTGCTAAGACGTACAGGTAAAGCATGAAACGTTCAAAAGAACTGTTTTACAAGCCAAAAAAAAAATATTAATTACCTATGCCAGAACTCCCACACTCTCTCCCCTCCACACGCAAAGCACATTAACTTCATTCACTTAATTAGTTGCAGATGAATAATGAGTAGAGAAGCTTGTGCCCCCGCCCTGTCCTTCCTCTGGCACATTCCTTGCAATACACAGACCTTAGGAAAAGAGAAATCCAATATAGCCTTGCAGCACTGTCATACTATACTCACTAGACACAGGAACAAAGGAGGTGTCTTGCCCTTTGCTCAACAATGGGGATATCGTAGAATTAAAATTCTAAATAATAATAGTAATAATAATACCTTTAATTACATTTAATTACGTAGCAAATACTTTTCTCCAAAGTGACATACAATTGAAAAAACATATTGAGCGAGTTCCAGCCACTCCCAGTTAGTTGGGTTTAAGGGCTGTGCTCAATGGCTGACCGGTGCCATCACTCTGTCAAACACAGGATTTAACCTGGCAGCCTTCTGATCACAGGCACAGCGTCCAAACCTACTGAGGTACACACCACCCGAATTCACATAGTGCTTTTTCAGTTATGCCCTGTGGCTGTGATCACAGACTTCAAAGATTTCCATCTTTGCATCGTGTGTTGTTCACGTTCACGAGCCGTTACACACCTCAGTTTGGGTTTCACGGTTTCTTGCTGTTCCGATACAGCAGCAAACAGGATATGCTCTGAAACTTTATTATTAAAGCTTCAGACTCAAACTATTAGGAACATTTGTAAACACCAAATAACATGCAATGTGCCTATTGATGTGGCTGAATAAACAGCTTTAGAGAAGCGTCTTTGCACATTGCGAAACAACATATGCAAAAGAAAAAAAAAACATTGGATATATTTTTTAAATGGAAAGACTTGGCTCTGAATGTTTCACTATGCATGACGCCGAGCCTGTCACGTCAGCAGAGGACCTAAACGAGAAATACCTTCATTACAAGCCACATTGTTGCCCAGACACAATGATACAAAGACCTTCGAACAAGATAAGCCACCAGGTCACAAATAGACTACTTCGCAGATAATGTCCGTCTGGGTAAAAGCAACATCCCAGCTGCAGTCTTACAAGTTTCATCGCACCCTATATATATATATATATATATATATATATCATTCAAAAAATGTCAGCCACAGGGTTTTCTGCATCTCTTAACATTGCCTTCACTAAATACGCTTCATTACCTATGCGACATCGAAAAGACTCGAGATTGCATTTTTACTAGTAAATGTGATTTTTACTAGTAAGAATTAAGTTATGACCAGTAAGCCTTATACCAATAAAAGACAATTTGGCTTAATTACCACAGTACGACTTATTATCGACTATAGTATATATACAGAGTGCAGGAACATGAAGCAAACAAGCCACAAAGCAGCCTATAAACTAACACAGCAACTCACATTTAAAATAAATCTGAAATTCTGAAACAAATATTCATGTTTAGTTTTCTATTTTGAAATCTGCTTGTATTTGGAGAAAATCAAAGGTCGTCTGGTAACAGTTTAAAAGATCTGTAATTCGATGCTTACATGCGCGTTATTAGCGTTTATTTTATTCATCATTTATTATACAAAATAAATAATACAAAAGTTATAGAAATCTTCATACTTACTTGGTTGTGCTTGCAAGCCGTACATGTTTGTTAAAAGGCTGTATAGGCGATTTATGACTGAATTAAGCTACACGTTGAGCTCTCAATCTGCTTGACACAGATTTCACACTTGTTAACTGTTTTCTGCGATAATTATTTTTTTTTCTTTTCGATACAAAGGTATTTCCATGCGTTTGTCTGAAAGCATATGGCGTGGAGTGGCTACAACCGTCGCATATAAGGCATGAATGCCGAGGGAGTATAGCTTACGAGAAAGACCCCACCCTATCTTTAGGCGTACGGCACTCCTGCCCACAACAGCTGCAAATCTCAGCTGAAAACAACACCGGGCATCTTGGACCAAACTTTTGTTTTACACATGTTCAGGGCTCAAAAGTGTCACGCATTGAGCGTTATAGTCACTCTTTTCAGTCTTTTGTCACGCACTCCCGCCACACATTGTATTTCTCATGCGGAAAAATAATTTGTAGGTTAATATGCCACAGCTCCCAATATTTCTCGGACCGCGGCACAATAGCGCCTCACTATGAAACAAGCGCGTCTCCGCTGGATTCCTAGAGCCTGTGACTTACCAGCCAATCAAAAAAAGAAAGGGCCTAAAAAATAGCCAATCAGAAAATAGCAGTATTGTATCTGGGTAAAATGCAACACAACAACCAATGAAAAGGCATCCTGGAATTCTTCGCGTGATTCTGCTAATTGTAACGAAATCCTCCGAAAATTTCGTTGACCCATCCATAGGAGCTCCGAACATCACTTCAAGCACTTGTCATGTTCTGTTTTAATGTTACAACAAATTCACAACTTGTTTGACACAAGAAATGACAACTTGACTGCTGTTCGAGAATGTTGCCCAGATAATTAGCATCAGTTTTTCAATGCTGAGTGTCTGTAACCTAAACTTAGCCAAGAGTTTTACAGTCTGTTCACTGACAACAACACCTGTTCAGAACAAGTAGTCTAGGTCATTTTTTGTTATCAGAGGATGACTGACATATTCTCACATTATGATAATCTCTCTCTCCAAATAGGCTAAATAATTTTATTGGCACTAAATAAAGTGTATTGCATCATAGATGCATTAATCATTGCATCCGTTAAGCATCATCTCTTTTGCCTTGAGTGGAAAGCCCAAAAAGGCCAGGTTAGAGAATGCTGGCCCAGAGCAGGTGGCGAAAAGGTTTGGCCCATTAGAGGAGGAGACAGTGCAGGTGGGTGAGACAATGCAGGTGGAATAGGAGGAGATGGTGGAGGTGGAAGAGGAGGAGACAGTGCAGGTGGAAGAGGAGGAGACGGTGGAGGAGATGGCTAGGGTGTCAGAAGAGACCATCAAAACAAAAGGGAAAAAAGTACCAGGAGCAGCCACCTACAAGAGCTATTTTAATAATGAATGGACCTCTAAATGGCCATTTATTACTGTAGGAAGCACCAGCTACTATTGCTGGTGCTCTATCTGCCACAAAGAGAGCTCCTGTGCCCATCAAGGTGTGCGGAATGAGCTGGTGATGAAGATGAGGGAAAATCTCTTTACACTGCTCACGGATGGCTCAAATGACAAAGGTATACCTTTGACAGCTAAATCCCCTGTTTCCATTTCCTCATGTTCATGTCACACACACTGAAATAATACACATGCAGTACATGCTTGCAGAGTTAGTTATGTACCATATTGTTACATGACTAGAGAAGATGAATCCCATAACTGTCAGGGTATTTGAGACCACGAAAGTTGTGCACAGATTTCTCGACATGTGCACCACAAGTGTTAGAAGCTGTGGCACAGCTGATGTTATATATAAAAAAATAAATGACGTCCAGATAGAGCATAACATACCATGGAAAAATTGTGTTGGCCTGTCAGTTGACAATGCCCCAGTTAATTTTGGTGCCAAAAATTCAATTGCGGCAAAAATGCTTCCGGAAAATCCCAGCGTTCCATACATTCATGGATGCCCCTGCCATATAATCCATAACACTGCCAAACACGCAGAGCAGAGGCTTTTGGAAGTAAGTTTCAACATGTTTGCTTTCCATTAAATATCTGTTAAGCTATAGGTGAAGTAAATAATTTGCTGTAAAATGACATAACTTCTTTGTGCTCATGTCGTATTCTGCAGATATCTGGATTTGACACTGAGGGCCTTGTGGTTGACGTTGGATATTGGATTAAGGGCTGCATGAACTGAAAAGGTTACTTGAAAGGTTTGTAATTCAATTAGCTCCAGTGTTATACACCAAAAAGTGAAGAAAAGTGTGGCTAACTTTGTTTTTCTTACATATTTTACCAGAATTCTGTGAACTCCATGGCAGTGAGTACATGGAAATGCTTCTGCACATTATTGTGAGGTGGCTGAGTTTGGAGATGTGCATCACCCGCATTCTGCAGCAGTATGGCCCACTCACCAGCTACTTCAAATCTTTAAGTAAATTGCACATCATATTGACACTAGTTCAGGACAGTTATATGAGACACCCAATAATAATAACAACCTATCTATTTGCAGATAAGAAACAACCAAGGTTCCGAAGGCTGGCGAAGGTGTTTTCCGATCCCCTGACGGAAGTCTACCTCCTGTTCCTTCAGGCCACATTGCCAGATTACAATAAAGGAAAACATTTTAGTAATAGAGGCCCTTGGTTCCTTTTTTCAAAGGTGACTGGCTTGAACCAGTTTGGGAGGCTATCAATGGGCGCTTTTCCACAGCACAAAGTACGGTACTTTGCTTTTCCATTGACTTCCGGTCGAGTACCAGTACCGAAAGCTCGAGTACCGAAAGTGCCAAACCAGCTGGGGTACTTCGGCACAAAATACACACAACGAACAGCGAGAAACGAAATAAAAAGCAGTAGAAACCAAAATATAAAAAAAGGAAAACGGAAGGATGGACAAACAAGGAAACACAGGCTTTAATCGCCATATGGCCGGAAGAACATATCCAGCGGAATTTGGATGGCACGACTCGAAATAAAAAAGTTTTTGCTTTTCCGGGCATTTCAGTTTCCCTATATTTCCCCTGTCGCTGTTGTTTCCATGTCTTTTTACGAAGCTCTTGAGGTAACCAAGCCATATATTTTAAAACATCACATGCTTTTTCGATGTTTTTTGTTTTAATAAATTAAACTATTTAATTCGCTGGATAGAGAGATTTCTTGATGAAAACGGTATAGTATTGCTTATAAGACTATATTATGCGTGACGATCTACTGTATTCACATGTAATAATGTACCTAAGTGATTTTCAGACATTTCACATATACCTCTGCTTTAATAGTAGGGGAAACATTATTTCCTGATAGACAGGAGAAACATAGGGAAACTGAATTGCCCGGAACACCGTAATACCAAGCCGCTTGGAAGAAATTGGGCACACGCGAAACACCGAACAATGCCGCTTGAAAATCAAAAAACATGATTAAATAATTTGTTTGCTTTCAAAAGACTGAATTAGCAGTAAGCTAATTCTTACTGCTTTGATCGGCTTAGCTAAAGTAAGTGTACCTACGTAAACGTAAATGATGGCAGCATTCATTCAAGCTGGATATTATTGAATCTTATACTGTGATAGAAGTTGACATGACATAACAATAAACCGCATTTTCCAGCCTAAACTGTTAGTTTTAATTTTGGGCTGTTTTTTTTTTTTTAATTATGATTTAAGATGCGCGTTGTGACGATGTCAGTGAGGGGCGGTCACTGATGATGTCATTTGGCGCCGGTACCATTTTTTACGCCAGTGGAAAACCGACACTAAAGAAGTACCATACCTTCGGCACTTTATGGAAGTACCGAATTTACGGTAACTGGAGCGGTGGAAAAACGCCCAAAGACCGCATCCTTGGTTTGCCGAGAGGCTTTTTTCAATAGTCGGTTTGAACAAAATTGCAACACGAAACAGCTTGGCTCTAGACGGGACGTTGTCCTCAGTAATGACCCTGAAAATGGCTGGGCTTGAGCCTAACTTTTAAATGGGGACCTACACCAAAAATGATAAAAGAGTCCAAAAAGGCAACAAACACCTACAATAAAAAACACCAGTCATACTCTCTCTCTCTCACACACACACACTATCAGAGAGAGAGAAATTGAATAAATACTTTATATTCGGTGAAATTGTCAGTGCCATGTATCAAATCTTTTCTTCCACAAGTCAGAACAATTAATAACAAGAACAACACTAATAATAAAATTATTAATGAAAAACCCTCATTCCTGAGGCCCATCCGACCCGCGCCCCTTTTGAGCCCCTGACAATTGACGGAACAGGACGGGGTGGGGGCTGGGGCGGGGGGGTTAGTGGAATGTCAGTCTTGCCTGTCTTGAGACTTGAGAAACTTGAGAGCCCTGCACATGTTTGAATATTTGCTTTACTGTAAATACCCAGTGTAATGTTCCATTAATGTTCATGTCTATTTTGTTAATGTTAATGGAATTTGCTCTTGCAGGGGTTTTGTGTTAATCATGTTCCAAACGAACCAAGGTAAATTCTGATAGTTGTCAAGTCCACATTACAATATACAAAACATAAAGGGAACTACAACTGACAATTGCCTGTAAATCGTAGGTTCCATAAAATTCACCTTGAATTTGACAAACACGTGGAATTCAGTTGACAAATCATCTAAGAGATGTTGTGTGTTGCTTTGATTAGACTTTTTCTGTCCAATTAGTCTCATACAAGTTCTGTGGGAATGAAGCCTGGAGACTCTGTCTGGTCATTAGTCCTTCACTTTCCTTCTTCACTGAATAGTTCTCCTGTGTTTTTGAGTTTTATTCTGGGTTGTTATCTTGCTGGAGAATGAAGGACTGTCCGATCAGACACAATCCTGGAGGAATGGCGTGCCTTTGAATTCTGCCATGACATCTATGCTCTTGGAGGTTCGTGTGGATTTTGTAAAGATCACAAACACAAGATTGGTCTTTTGATAATGTTTTACTTTGTTTACACTGCCAGCTTCCTGGCCCACAGGCAGGATCTCACAGACCATCTGAACATGATCCCATCCTCCCACCCCCTCCATCTCTCTGCTCCTCAGCCGCCTGCCACAGGTCACAGAAAGTCACTGTCTAATGTTAATGCAGCTGATTTGTTTATGTATGGTTTCATTTGAATGGTCCCCGTCTTAATACAGTATGTTGTAATAATAAAATATGTTAGGGAAATCTTGCCTTACGGAAGGTTATGTCAGTTGTGTAAGGGGACAATTGTTGAATGGGTTCAGTTGTTAAATGGGCTTTTCACACATTTCAACTAACCATGGTTATAGGTTCTTCCACTCCTATGTGCTTAAGGCTCCTAACCACAATTCTAATGCTATCTACGTCAATCTAAAAGTACACAGATTAATGAGTAAATAGATTTTATCCAACAATTGTCCCCAGTCACCCCCTATGTTGTTTTTACCCAGTGAATAAATAATGTTTTGATTACTTTCTGAGTCATAACCTGGGTTTTTAGCTCTAGTAAATTTCTGGGGACTGGTGGGATTGCTTGGTGACTTGGTTTA